CCCCCCCCCCCCCCGCACCACGGTAGATCCACCCCTGCATGGGCTGGACTGCGCAGCGTCTTTATTGCGTACCTATGTTCCCACCAGCTGAGCAAATGGACAAAATAGGATGAACGTTCCATGATGTTTTCTGGTACTCCGCGAGTGAACAAAAACTCTGTTACAAATTCGGAAAGTGTAATTTCCCCATAATATATACTATTTCTGGGGGCACAGGGGGTGTACACACCATAAATTTATAACCCCCCACCCCAGAAATTTAGATGCTCATAAGATTAAATCTCAGTTCTATAAACTGGATTAAATGACAGTGCTGTGATTGAAACAAGGATTTTCAACCAATTTTCACCAAGGATTTTCAAAAATCTCAAAATGGGAGCTCCACCCCATTACCAAAACCTTGCCCCCAGACCCCTGGTGCAGCTTGCTCGGCGACGCAACTTGCCGTCGTGCCCGAATTTTTCTGCACACACCCCGAGCAAAATCTGAAAATCCGTCTGTGAAATATGACAGCCCAATCTCTGCCTCGTCCCCAGGCGCTGTAAAACGATTTCACATACGAGTCACTATATAAAAGGTTTACATGAAGTAGTGCGTCACATTATAGGCGCGCAAAGGGGAATGGGCGTTCCCTGCGCTTGTTCGTCGCGATGCACTACTTCATGTAAACCTTTCATATAGTGACTCGCATGAAATTTTTTTATGGTACTGTAGATGGAAATTGTAGGGTGGAAATTTGTATACATTTATTAGAACTTTAAGCCCCTGGCAGGAATTATTCATTCGAGTGAGATGCCAGAAAAATCTTGGTATTTGACCCATAACCTATTAATGGCAGTACCCTAGTATATATACATGAACTTGTGGTGAGACCTCGACAACTGACCTCTGTAGCTCAGTTGGTTAGAGCGCTGCACCGGAATCGCAGGGCTGCAGGTTCAATTCCTGCCAGAATGTACATAAATTTCCACTCGACAATTTCCATGTACAATACCCATCACAAAAGCCCAATTAATGTTACCGTGGTTGATAGTTGTGATCAGCCTCGAGGTCTACTTTGGTATCGTAAGCCATCTCGATATAAGGGATGACATCGCTGATGTTATCAAACGACATATCGCCACCACTTCGCAACTGATGGAGAATTTGTTGCATCCATGTTGTGCCACACTTAGATGGAGTGACGACGAACACGTCGTTCGAACGAGGTTTAAAACTTAAACCTTTACGTCGTCCTTCTACTGTTTGCAAACGAGAATATTTCTGTTTCAGGAGCTGCACGCCTGCCCCTGCACATTTCTCAACCGACATTCTAGGTACTATTTAAAACACGAGTACGAGTGTAAAGTGTTTTAAATAGTACCTTCAATCAGATATAAAACGAGAGACGCAGTCGAGCGTTCTATATCTGATAAAACACGAGTGTTTTGAATAGCTTAAAATACGACTACAAAAGATACCTTTCATTAGTATCCTTTATATAAGAATACTAATTAGGATGAACAATTATATAATGCCACATTAATTATGCCACATGTGTTTATTTTGAAGGATTAACCGCTATATATCGACATATACTTATTATATGCTATTTGAACGCCAAGGTTGGGCAAAATCAACGAATAAAAAACGTTGCTAAAGCATACTTAGATACACAAATTACAGCAAATCATTATACGATTTATTATGCAAATAAGTAACGCATGGTTGCACGCATATATAATAAACCACTGTTCCAGAACACTGTTCCAGAACACCGTGTGCACTCGACTTCATGTCGTTCCAGAACAGTGTTCCAAATGTTCTAGAACAGCAAATGGAGCAGCCTCCAGATATAAAGTCACTCCACTTTATGTAGCCCTACACCAAATACGTACTAAACCACACAATTAATCATTTCAGACTCAGCAGTTGAAATACCAGAGAATACTGAGCTCTTTGTACCACCAGAAACCCCATTGATACCTACCATACCAATAGACAACCAATTCGATGTACTTACCGACGAAAGCTCAAATACAAGCATGAAATTACAAGATGAAAACCAAAACATTAACCCTATGAAAACAAGTAATGCCGAAACCATTATCCTTTGTGACTCTAATGGACGAAACCTGGATCCAAAGCTATTATGTCCAAACTCAACCACCGAGTATGTGAGATGCCCCACAATTGAAGCTGCCAATAAAATCCTAAAACAACATCAATTTAGCAATCCCAAGACATTCATAATCCATACAGGTACAAATGATATTGAAAGATGCTCTATTGACAACATCAACAACAAGACAAAAACGCTCTTGTCCTCCATGACCTCCATCAGACAGAGACACCCCCAAGCCCGTTTAATCTTGTCAAGTCTTCTACCCCGTAATGATCACCTCCTTCAAAAGGCAAAAACACTAAATGATCGTCTTGAGAAGTTTACAAATGAATTTCCAAACACCACCATTTTGAAACATACAAATCTCTTTGAATCCACCCAAATTCTATATGACAAGAAACATCTCAATCATAAAGGAGTCAAGATATTTGCCAAAAACCTCAAAAGTGCATATTTTGGCACCAAACAAAAGCATTACAGCCCAAAACCTTTATTCCACCCACCCACTAATAAACAGTTCACACCAAACCACCGAACACACCAACCATATCACCATGTTCCACACCCTGTCAACTACAATCAACAATTCCCACCACTCCCAAGGAATGGCAATCCTAACACCTGGAAACGCCCGCTAGACAACGAAGCAAACCATAAAGTCTCCGAGATGATCAAGATTCTCCATAGTCTATTTCAATAAACAAACTGTAAGTACGCAAAAGAAACCATTAACATCATTATATGATCTCTAACTAAATATTCAGTACACTTAATATATATATATATTGCCTTGCGATTTTTATCATAGGTCAGCCAATCTTTTTCTAATCATTTCAAATCATTCCAAAATTACATAAAATGTATTCTAAGCTTTCTTTAAGTACTTGGAATATAAATGGTTTAAAAAATTGTACGCTTGGTAAGAAACTAAGCAATAGTGATTTTATAAAAAATATTGAAGATCATGATTTAATCTTTCTTGTTGAAACATGGTCAAATGATACTAACAGCATTCCTGGTTTCAAGGCAATATCCACAGTCACGGCAACACCCAAGTCAAACTTTGCTTGCCGTTTGTCTGGTGGAATTTCACTTTTGTTCAAAATAGGACTTGAAACTTTTATTTCTGTTGAAAAACGTACCAAAACATCTTTATGGTGTCGAATAGACAGCACAATCCTAGACTCCACAAAAGATCTATTCATCTGTGGAGTCTATATTCCACCGGAAAGGTCATCTTATTATGATGAAGAAATCTTTGATGACCTTGAAAATGACATAGTTTATTTCTCAAAAAAAGGAAATGTTATGCTGCTGGGGGACTTTAATGCCCGTACCAGCAAACTTGAAGATTTTGTCTCAAGTGAAGGAAATACCTTCATAAATGACATTACTGAAACCGCTTTCCAACCAAAAATAAGGGAAAGTTTTGATAGTTATATTAATAAACATGGAAAAAATCTGATTGAGATCTGCAAAAGTTGCAACCTAAGAATTCTGAATGGTAGGACCCTTGGTGACTCATTTGGTAAACCCACTTCACACAGTAAAAATGGCTCAAGTGTGGTTGACTACATAATATGTGACCAAGAATTAATTAACTAACCCAATCCATTGAAAACTTTATTGTTAAACCTCCAACTTATCTATCTGACCATAGTCAACTAGTGACATGGATTAAAAGAGCTCCCACTCATGTCCCTCTCAGTGAGACTACTCACACGCAACAACCTAAAACACATAAGCTTCCACCCCAATTCATATGGGACAACGACTCAATGATTAAGTTTACAGAAAATCTCAAATCATTTCAAACTCAACAAAAACTTCAATACTTGATCAATTCCAATCCATCTCCCTCAAAGGAAGGTGTTGACAGATTTGCCTCAACAGTAGAAGATTTAATTATGCATGCTGCTAAAAAATCCATGAAAATCAAAAAGAAGAAATACAGAAACAAAATTTCCAATGTCTGTAACAAAAAATGGTTCGATAAAGAATGTCGACTCCAAAGACATTCATTGAGAAAACTCGCAAACCAAAAACACCGTGATCCCCTTAATACCGAAATAAGAGACAAATACCATACCACACTTAAGATTTATAAAAACACTCTAAAACGCAAGAAAGAACTTTTTCATGAAAAGAAACTAGAAGAACTAGAAAGAGTTTCTGAAAATGACCCAAATTCCTTCTGGAAACTATTAAAGAACATGAGTGATGACTTTGAGGACCCTTCCATGAGTAAACCAGATGTTTCGGCTAACAGCTGGCTCACTCATTTCGAATCCCTGCATGCAAAACATACGTTAGACACAGAACAGAATAATATTTTACAAAAATTAACAAAACTTGAAGAAGAAATCCCAAATAATTTTCTTGATGAACCGATTTCTGAAGTAGAAGTTTTAAGTGCTGCAAAGAAATTAAAAAACAACAAATCTGCTTATTCTGACAGGATAAAAAACGAAATGCTAAAGTGTAGTGTCAAAATATTACTTAAATTATACCAAAAACTTTTTAACCTCATTTTAGAAACAGGGCATTTCCCAGATCAATGGTGTGAAGGTCTCATTACACCAATTTTTAAGTCAGGAGATAAAACTGACCCCAATAACTACAGGGGAATTTGCGTGACTAGCTGTCTCAGCAAATTCCTTTGTATTATTTTAAATCAACGGTTAAGTAAATTTAGCATTGATAGAAACATAATTCACCCATCCCAAATCGGATTTCAGTCGGGCCACAGAACAGCTGATCACATTTTCACTCTTAAAACAATAATAGACAAACACATAAATGAGAACAAAAAGGAAAAACTCTATGCATGCTTTGTTGATTTTAGAAAGGCTTTTGACTCTGTTTGGCATGAAGGCCTTTTTTTAAAACTGCTTGAAAACAAAATTGATGGTAACTTCTACAACCTTGTTAAAAGTTTATATTCAAACTCTAAATGCGCCGTAAAAGAAAGCAAAACTAATCGAACTGAATTTTTCTCATACTCCACAGGAGTGCGTCAAGGCTGTGTTCTGAGCCCTCTTCTATTTAATATCTACATAAACGAATTGGCAACATTATTTGACACTACAGATGCTGATCCGTTTATACTACCAAATGGAACTAAACTGAGTTGTCTTCTATATGCCGATGACTTAATTTTATTATCTCGATCAAAATTCGGCCTACAAAAATCTCTAGACGATCTCCATAGTTGGAGTAAAAAATGGCTCATGGAGATAAATTTGAAGAAAACACAAATAATGATTATTGAAAAACGAAAAACAAGAAAGGCAAGCCCAAAGTTTAATGTTGGAAATCGGAACATAGCAATTGTACAGGAATACTGTTACCTAGGAGTCAAACTAAATCACAATGGCAATTTCACTTTAGCTCTAAAGCAACTAAGTGAGAAAGCCTTGCATGCTTTATATGGTATAAGAAGACAGCTCAACTTCAGCCGCCTCAATCCCAAATATGCCATTAAAATATTTGATTCTATTATAAGCCCG